CAAGAAGGAACAAAGCGGCTAAAAAGAACGAAGAAATGAAGGCCTGAAGATCGCTGAGCCCAGTTGGCGAGTCGCCGATCGGCTTGGAGATCACCTTTTGTTCCGGTGCGCTGAGCCCTGAAGGAAAAGGTCAAGTTGGCGATGCAATGGAGTAGTCGGCGTGTCGCCGAACAGTTTTGCAAAGCACTACCATATCACCCAACGACTCAAAACACAAAGAGGCTAAAGGCTAAAGCAGGAAGGCAATGAAATTGACCAAACGACGGATCGTCGAACGTATCGGTGATCCCGAATAACTTCGCCGAAGGGTCCTTCGCAACACATTTTCAAACACTATAAATGCTTGTTTAAATTTCTAGATTAGTATCATATCACTACTATTATTAGAACTTTTTACAGTTTTTGAGAGAGTCTAAGTTTTAGAGGGTTTTAGAGACTTTGTTTCAAGACCTTGAAGATTCAAAGGGTTTCAACTCCAAGAAATTGAACTTGGGTCTCAAAGATTCTTCACTCTTGACGTGTTTTAAGACTTAATACTTCATACCTAGTTGATGGAAACTGATATTGGTATAAATTTTATCTCTTTTAAATATCTAGCTAAAACCCCAATTTTGGGGTGTGATTTTGTGAATATGGGTTTGATTATCTGTTGGGTCTTGCTTGTTGATGGTTTATTTGTTGTTTAAATATGATTTCATTTAGTAGTTGTGTATGAACTTAATGGAGTTGTAGTTGCAAATATGATTTCATCTTAGTGTTTTCGGCTTGCGAGAGAGAGAGAGGTCGTAAAACTAAGACTACTAAATGGATAGCCGGTGGTATTGGGTCGACATGGGTTCAGCTCGAGAGAGTGAATCCTAGTCCTTCTCCCACACATTCAGCTCGAGAGAGTGAATAGGATAAGGCGGAGGCTGTGCTTAAAGTGGCAACTAAGTGTTCGGGAGAAATCGATTCGATTCGGGGTAAGTTGCTCGAGAGAGAATTTACCCCTCTATTGTCTAGCCTAGTCACAAATACTCAACAATTTACTATCAAAAGCATGTACCCGACAATTTAGTTTATCCCGTATTCCTATCACATCTCAAGAATCCCATCTCTCTAGCTAGTTTTCGTATATTTTCGTTGTTTGTAGTTGTTAATTAATACAAAACCCCCCATTGATAATTGACTCTTGCATCACCCCCTTTAGATTTAGTATGTTTATATTCGATAATGTCTATAGCTATGAATAATTAGAACTAAATTTTATTTTTCTATTAATTCTCAAAACTACTCCCTTGGGACTCGACACCAACTTTTGGTTGGGTTACTTTACTATTGTACGATCGTAGACACTCGAATTGGAAGTTGTGTCTTGATTACGCAAACATCATTGGCCATTAGTCTTGAACCTGTCGCCCTTATCATTTTCAAGCTCAATAGCACCCGACTGGAACACCTGAGTTACCTTAGAAGGTCCAGACCATTTGGATCTCAACTTTCCCAAAAACAGACGAAGTCTGGAGTTGAAAAGTAACACCAAATCACGAGGATTAAAGGTTCTCTTCTCAATATGCTTATCATGATACACCTTCATCCTCTCCTTGTATAGTGCAGACCTCTCATATGCTCTCAAACGGAACGCATCCATCTCATTGATCTGATCCAATCTCAGGTTTACTGTTTCACCCCAACTAAGATTAGCTTCTTCAATGCCCAGAGTGCCTTATGGTCAAGCTTAACTGGCAAATGACTTGCCTTTCCAAACACCAATTGATATGGAGATATACCAATATGCATCTTGAAGCTGTCCGATATACCCATAGATCATCATCTAACTTTCGTGACTAATCTTTCCTATTGACATTCACTATTTTTGGCAAAATCGCCTTTATTTCTCTATTGGACACCTCCACTTGGTCACTGGTCTGCGGATGATAAGAAGTTGCCACCTTGTGCTTTGTAACCCTATATTTGGCCATAAGTGCACTGAATACCTTGTTGCAAAAGTGGGAACCGCCTTCACTGATAATGGCTCTGGGTGTGCCGAACCTTGAGAAGATATTCTTCTTCAGAAAGCCAGCAACACCCTTGCCATCATTCTCAGGAAAAGCAACTGCGTCAACCCATTTGGACACATAGTCCACTGCCACCAATATATACTTTTGTCCATAGGAGCTCACAAATGGGCCCATGAAATAAACTCCCCACATATCAAATAGCTCTACCTCCAGAATAGGTGTCATGTGTAGCTTGTGGCACCGAGAGATGGCTCCTTGCCGCTGGCACACATCATAACTCCTCACTATATCCATTGAATCTTTATGAATTGTGGGCCAATAATACCCACACTGAAGTACCTTATGGGCTGTCCGAGCGCCTCCATGATGGCTACCTATTGGAGAGGAGTGACAGGCCTCTAGAATGTGCAACATGTCAGCTTCAGGGATGCATCGTCTGATGATATTATCAGCACACACCCTGTACAAATAAGGTTCATCCCAAAAATACTTACCCACATCATGCAGGAACCTCTTCCTTTGCTAAAATGTGATCCCCTCAAGCATTAAGTCACTAACAAGGAAGTTAGCAAAATCAGCAAACCAAGGAATGAGATCAAGAGTAGCAGCTAATACCTTCTCATCCGGGAACGAGTCATTGATTTCTAGCTCAAGTTCCTCTTTCTTTTCAGCCTACAACCTAGACAAGTGATTAGCCACCGGGTTTTCACACACTCTTCTATCCTTAACCTCAAAATCAAACTCCTAAAGTAGCAACACCCATCTGATCAACCTTGGCTTGGTATTTTTTTTGCCATTAGGTATCTTAGAGCTGTATGATCCGTGTGAACTATCACTTTAGTACCCAACAAGTAAGCTCTGAATTTCTCAAAAGCATATACCACAACAAGTAGTTCTTGTTCAGTGACTGTGTAGTTTCGGTGTGCTACATTTAGTGACTTGCTAGCATAATAGATCGGATGGAACATCTTGTTGCACATTTTTCCTAACACAACTCCTAGGGCAGTACCACTAGCATCACACATTACCTCAAAAGGCTCAACCCAATCTGGGCCAATGATCACTGGGGCAGAAATCATCTTCTCCTTCAGGCATTCAAAAGGTCTTAGACATGCCTCATCAAAAGTAAATCTCACCTCCTTCTCCAAAATCTTGCACAACGGGTGTGCAATTTTTGAGAAGTCCTTGATGAAACGCCTATAAAACCCGGCATGTCCTAAGATGCTTCGAACACCCTTCACACAAATAGGTGGAGGTAACTTTTAAATCACCTCAATTGTGGCCTTATCGATCTCTAATCCCTTTTGTGACACCTTATGACCAAGGACTATGCTTTCCTTGACCATGAAATGGCAATTCTCCCAATTCAGCACTAGATTGGCCTCCTCGCATCTCTATATCGCCCTTCTAAGATTGAGAAAACAGTCATCAAAGGTATCACCTACCACTGAAAAGTCATCCATTAATACCTCTAGAGTGTCCTCTACCATGTCCGAAACTATAGACATCATACACCTCTGGGAAGTTGATGGTGCATTACATAGTTCAAATGGCATGCGTTTAAACGCAAAGGTGCCATAAGGACATGTAAAAGTGGTCTTTTCCTGATCTTCAGGAGCAATTGATATCTGGTTGTAGCCAGAGTATCCATCTAAGAAACAGTACCACCCTTTTCCAGCCAACCTGTCAAGCATTTGGTCTATGAAAGGCATTGGGAAGTTATCCTTCAAGGTCCACTTGTTCAGCTTCCTGTAGTCCATGCACACTCGCCATCCAGTGATTGGTCTTTGTAGGACCAACTCATTCTTTGCGTTCGCCACCACTGTCATACCTCCATTTCTGGGCACTCATTGCACTGGGCTGACCTAGTGACTGTCAGAAATAGGGTACACCACCACAACATCTAACCACTTGATGATCTCTCTTTTGACCACCTCTTGCATTGGTGGGTTTAATCTCCGCTGGTGCTCAATGCTTGGGCTGCAGTCCTCCTCAAGTTGGATCTTATGAGTGCATATACCCGGAGGTATCCCGATGACGTCAGTAATGGTCCACCCAATTGCCCTTTTGTACCTTATCAACACTTTGATCACAGCTTGAACCTGTTCATCATTTAAATCTGCAGACAAAATCACATGCAAAGTATTGTTAGAGCCCAAATATACATACCTCAGGTGACTGGGTAATTGTTTCAATTCCAACACCGGTGGCTCCTCAATGGATGGATTTGCTGGAGGGCTTGGCCTGTTTTTCAAATCCAGGTCCAGTTTCTTTGGAGCATAAGAGTGTGTTCCCATACCCTGTAAGGCATTTACAGTTTCCACATAGTCAGTCCGTAAATCTTCTTCAAAATTCATCAACCCGGCTGGTAATGTTTCAACAGCCAGCCTCTTCTCAATGGTTGCTCCCATCTCTTCTTCATCAAAAGCCTCTATCACAGACACCACATTCATGTAATATGGCTGTTTCATTGAAATGCAAATATTCAACTTTATCTCTTCATTGTTGAGTTTGAATTTCAGTTCTCCTCTCTCAACATCTACCAATGCTCATCCTGTGGCTCGAAATGGTCTCCCCAAAATTATGGGAACCTCTAAATTCACTTTGCAATCCAAGATCACGAAGTTTGCTTGAATGATGAACGTGTCCACCTTTACGAGCACATCACATAGGATGCCTACAGGTCACTTTACTGACCTATGTCCAATTATCAGCCTGATTGTTATGGGTTTTGGAACTCCTAACCCAGTTGCTTGTAGATGGCCAACTGTATCAAGTTTATACTGGCTCCTAAGTCACACAAGGCCTTTGCAAATTTGATTGATCCGATGATGCACGGTATGGTGAATGCACCTGGATCCTCTTTCTTCTGTACCAGAGATCTGGTAGCAATAGCACTGCAATGATGAACATTGTCAGTCAAATCAATATTCACACCTCTCTTTTTTTGTAACGAAGTCGTTCATGAACTTGGCATATCCTGGTATCTGCTCAAGGGCATCCACCAATGGTATGTTCACTGACACCTGTCTCAGCATGGTGATAAACTTCGCAAATTTCCCATCTCGACTTTCTTTTTAAGCCGTTGAGGGAAAGGAGAAGGTGGTCTCGGGATCTGCTGTAAAGGCATAGTTCCCTCAACTTCTTTTTCCTTTCCTCATGCGGGTTACGCTATTGGTTGAGCATCCTCCAAGTCATCTACTTGTTCAGCTTCAACCTCCTCTCTTCCAGTTTGCTCCACCACCTGTTCATACTTAGTACATGCAAACATTGGGTTATTAAGAATCTTACCACTCCTGGTGGCGATAGCCATGCAATGCTCGTCCTTCTTAGGATTTTGTAATGTATCACTAGGCAGTGAACCATTTTTCCTTTGATTTAGTGATACTGAAAGCTGCCCCAACTGTTGCTCTATTTTCTTAATAGAGGTGGTGTGACAGTTTACCAATTGACTTATATTGGAGAAATCACCTTTCATCTCCTTCACCCTTGCATCAGTTGACTCAACGTTTTGGAGGACCTTGGCCAACATGTCTTCCAGCTTAGACCCGCTGGACCTACCACTTGCCCGATCTTTATTACCTGGGGCACATACACACCACTGCGATCATTTCTGTACCTGTCACGACCCAAGAGTACCCCCTATAAGTAACATGGCGTACTTGACCCCGAAGGGTCTCATACAAGCCTCTAGAATCATCATTACATAAGACATTGAATTAATGTGGAATTTAAAACTTTACAATCGAAGTTCAACTTCACTTTTCATAAAAGAAAGTAATAGGAAAAGTCTAGACTTTGTCTCATACACCATCTAAAACATAGGAATACATCAATAAAAGTCTCAACATGAGAGGTACAATAGAACTAGAAAATAGGAAATCCCGTCCTCGAACTTGAGGACTCACCACTACTTGGAGAAAGCAATCCAAGTCTTCTTCAAAGGAGAGAGTGAAAGTCACCTAGCCGGAACCTACACTCATTAAGATGTAGAAGGAAGAATGGGTTAGCACATAATATATACTAAGTATGGAAACATGCATAAAAACCTTATATATGATAAAAAGGACATTTTGTTAGAAAAGTATGCCTTTGACACGTTTAGAAACCAACATGTATTTACAATGTACGACACAATTATAATCACATTTATACTCACTACATGGTAATATAAACACCTTAGCAGCCTCTAAGGAACAATTGTGCAATGTATGGTTGGCATCCCATAATACCAACCCTACTAAATGTCCCCTTGAAGTTCCCTTGGTCATGCATATCATCTTCAAACCTCATTATAATCATTAGTCACCAATAAAGAAATAATCATGAACATTACTTTGAATACAAGGAAAGTCATTCATAATAACTAACCATTCAAGATATACGTATGTATTCGTATCTCATTACAATAATAAGGAACCATCCCACAACACCCTACCAAGTCCACTTGTGCAATGTGGGAGTGAAGTCCCATACCCCCACTCCTACTAAGTAAACTCACCTAGAGGTCATAGCATAGTCCATGTCTCATTCATTATCATTCATTTAGGGAAGAATAACATAACCGACATAGACCATTTGAGCTACATGGAATCCAGTGTCGTGTAACCCCACACCGAAAGAAGGTGTCCTACTTGCCTAAGGTAGGACTAAGTGTATAGCGTCTAGGTGGATCCACTAGCTAAGTCCTATGTTGGCACATAGTTATGGGATAGAAAGATTGCTTCTAGAAACCCACCCTATTGCTTTGGCAAAGGGGCTTCCATCTCATGAGTTCACTTTGGATGAACCTCCCTATTGCAT